GTTATATAGATGTGAAATATTGTGAGCTTGAACACCAACACCTGTCTGTAGACAGTGAACGGTTATATAGATGTGGAATATTGTGAGGTTAAACACCAACACCTGTCTGTAGACAGTGAACGGTTATATAGATGTGGAATATTGTGAGCTTGAACACCAACAACTGTCTGCTGACAGTGAAAGGTTATATAGATGTGGAATATTGTGAGCTTGAACACCAACACCTGTCTGTAGACAGTGAACGGTTATATAGATGTGGAATATTGTGAGGTTAAACACCAACACCTGTCTGTAGACAGTGAACGGTTATATAGATGTGGAATATTGTGAGGTTAAACACCAACAACTGTCTGTAGACAGTGAACGGGTATATAGATGTGAAATATTGTGAGCCTAACCACCAACAACTGTCTGCAGACAGTGAAAGGTTATATAGATGTGGAATATTGTGAGGTTAAACACCAACACCTGTCTGTAGACAGTGAACGGTTATATAGATGTGAAATATTGTGAGCTTGAACACCAACACCTGTCTGTAGACAGTGAATGGTTATATAGATGTGGTATATTGTGAGGTTAAACACCAACAACTGTCTGTAGACAGTGAACGGTTATATAGATGTGGAATATTGTGAGGTTAAACACCAACAACTGTCTGTAGACAGTGAACGGTTATATAGATGTGGAATATTGTGAGGTTAAACACCAACACCTGTCTGCAAACAGTGAACGGTTATATAGGTGTGGTATATTGTGAGCTTGAACACCAATATCTTGTTCTTTAATTTTATTTTTTCTTATTCTAATCTTATTCTTTGCATGTGAGGCTTGGCAAATGGAGTTAATACTGGTAAGTGGTGTATTCCTACTACTATGTGGGTTATATTTCTGCAGTAACCTCCCACATTATAGCCTGTGCCCTGCTCATTTATTTTGGTTATGCAGCTCTGTTGTTTTTCTTTTGAATTATAAATACACATATGCATTCATTGAATTATGTGTAAATAAAACTTTCTTACTCCATGATGTAATTATTACCTGTGTGTGTGTTATAGACTAAACCGTTTCGATGGTCCATCGATCAACTTGCTGTACTTAAACCAGCGGATATAGATGAAACCTCTCAACAAGATACTTACTCTGAGTAAGTAACTCTCATTTCATTTTGTTTTTCATAGCATGGAAGCAGATTTACAATCTGTATAAGAATTTTGGTTATTAGCAAGGAAAAACAATGTTAGCAGTTAGTTGAATAAGATCAAAGTGGACTTTTGAATTATTCTACCAAGTAAAGCCTTCAGTTTGGTAATATCTCGAAAATATGAAATAAATAAAACAGTAGATTCAAGGGTAATTGTCTCCATGTTTAAGCTAAACTAACTTTTAAAATTATGCACTGTTTTCTAAACTGATTTTTTTTGCACAGCGATAATGAGTTTGTTTTGGTTTGTGCTAATATATAAAACAAAGTATTTTATTTGTTTTTATAGAAATTTTGAAATTAATGATTAAAATGGTTATTAGTGATAAGGTTTTTTATTACATTTATTGTTATGTTGTTGCTCTTTTAAGGAATTACTCAGATTAGTTCTACGTTGATTAACTTATAAGGTAATATAAACTTAAAATAAGACCCAAAACTTGAGAACTTTTGAATAGTTGACTATTATTATTCTTTGTTCCCCTGAAGAAAACACTTGAGTTTTGGGTCTTATTTTACGTTTATTACACTTTATATGTGATCCTTTGTGCTAACTCTTTTATCAAGATTTATAATGTGATATAATATGGGTATCATATGATATATTACAATGTGATATAATGTGGGTATCATATGATATAATCTGATATAATATGGGTATCATATTGTTACGTCTCCGTTTGTTAATTAACTTTCCGTAACTTCGTTCCGACGAAACTTTAGCGACACAGGTCCTTAATAAAACTGGTTTATTCTTTCCAAATATAACTTTGCCAATACACTCAACTTCAACAATCACGCTAAACAAACGCTATAACAACGAACATGCTCAATAATACTCTCTGACAGCAGATCAATTACTCACTGTCTACACACACATTATCCTGTCACGTTGGCACCCTCTTATATATACCAGCTTACCCTATATCTAGTAAATGCTAGAGCATTCGCCAAGGTACATGATAGTTCTAGAAAGAAGAGGGCGTGAGAATAGTCACGTGACTCGCTGACGCAACACTGCCCCCTCCTTAATATTGTTCGTCCCGAACAATAACCACATACAATAAACCAATAACAATAACTTAATTAACTGTACAGAATTAAAAACACAAAATTACAATTCAACAAAGTCTCTTAATTTTACAGGACGTATCTTCTTCCGTACTGGTCTCCGTCTCGTTGGCTTCTGCTTCATGTGGGATTCATCTGCTTCATCAGTAAATGTCCTATCATCGGTAACAGTCACATCAGTGGTAGTAACTTCACCAAGAGCTTCACCGTTTCCCTTCTCAAAACTGAGTAGAGTTTCTTCTTCGATGGTGGCTTCTTCAGGTGGCACATCTTCAGCAGCGTCATTTGTTCTGTTGTCCACTTCATCCCAACTGAAATGTCCTGGACCATGATAACGCCAAAGCCTGTTGGCATGCACCACTTTTGGCTTACCTCGCCGACCACATTTTATCCGGAAAGTCACGTCTGAGAGACGATCCACTATGTCATATGGGCCTTCTCATGGAGAAGACAACTTAGGAGACTTCCCTTTTGTCTTCCTGGGATTATACAACCATACCTTGTCTCCTGGTACAAAGCTGACTTCAGTAGATCTCTTATCATAAGATAACTTCATTGAATCAGCAGACGTTTTCAAGTTTGAACGCACTTGATGGTGGATATCATCCATCCTTTCCGATAACACTTTCACAAACTCTGACATATTCTCAGGCAACTCTTCATAAGGTGAGTGTCCCGTATTCTTGGGTCCCCTTTTAGCACTACATGTACTGCATGTCCTGCACCATTCTTCCATATCTCGCCTCATACCTATCCAGTAAAATCGTTGTCGTATGTGACTCAATGTCTTCTTAATTCCGAGATGTCCTCCTGTTAAATTATCATGGGATTGACG